CTTAAGTTACATTATTTACTTTTGTTCAAGGTATATATCTCACTAAAACTTGAACAGATATATACCTTTAACAAAAGTAAACATTGTAACTTAAGGAGGATGTGATAGTTATCATGCTACATGTATCGAATTTTTTTATCGAATCTTTTACATACTACTCACAATGGGGATGAGGACCACATTGTCGAAATTTTTAAATACATGCAGGGCTCGTGCATTATGTGAGATGGGGTAATCCATTATGTACAAATCATTATGTGAGATGGTGTCATAAACTTGTTATAGATGTATAGTAATTCTATTAGAGGAATATCAATACTCCAAACTCACTTTTTTAACACTAACTCAAGTATTTTCACTTTCTCGTATATTCCACATTGTGTCTTTATATTAATTGTGTTCTAAGCCATAAATGGTTTTATATTAATTGTGTTCTAAGCCATAAATGGTTAAACAATTGTTCGGACTATTAATACAAACATATATGTTGGTTAAAATGGTCCCTTTCCTTCCCAAATCCTTCAACTTTAAATTAGCTACTTTCCTAGATATGTTACATCAAAATGAATCAATCATAACGTACGTGCTAAAATAACAATACTTAAATAAAATCTCGAGAAACGGTTAAATGTTACAAGGGTATTTATGAGGTTATGTAAGTGTTATGAAGGTAGTGAAATAATAAATAAAAACAAACAAGTTCATAATTTTCATAAACATAATTTATTGATCAAGGAAGCTGAACTTAATTATTCCAACAGGGATCTCATTTTCTGTACAAAACCATCCATATAAGAATCCTCAAAACCTTTGCTCAAGAAGATATCTCTCAATTTGTCATGGTTTCTTTTCACCTCGTTCCCAGTTTCACTGTCAACTTCCATCACTGCCCTTATGGCTTCATTCACGCCCTCCTTTGTAAACAAGCCATCATCGTCTCCTTTCTGGACTTCGACGCCAACTTTTAGATGTGCACTAAGAACATTAGCCTGAATGTAATGTTCGCCTCTATGGGGCAGTACCACCAATTGACACTCGCTCACTAGACCCTCCCATAGAGACCCATACCCACCATGTGTAACAAAACACCCCACAGAAGGGTGTTTTAAGATAAGTTGCTGTTGAACCCAACCTCCATGCACCACCCCTTTTCCTTGAGTTCTCTCTTTGAATCCCTCAGGTAAGGCTTCTTCCACTGTCTCCGACCCAACGGGTGGTTTCAGTGCGGCAAAAAAGGGATGACCTGAGCGTTCAAAACCCAACACCAATTCTTGAAATTGATCCTTTTGAAGTATGGCTTCACTCCCAAATGCACAGTAAATCACGCTTTTGGGTCTGAATTTGTCAAGCCATCTTTCCCACTTCTCCTCTAGAAAAGAAGATGGTAGTTCAGGAACAACTGGCCCTGCAAGTAAGACTGGCTTCTTGAAGTAATTTTCAATATATTCAATAAATGGGCCTTCAGTTTCTCTACAAGTATTGAAACCAATGGCATCACTCTCACAAATTGAGGTCCTCAACCGCTGCTTTAGTGTCAACCCACTGCCTACTTCCTTTTCATTGTCAAAAACCTCAAGTCTGCTGATGACATGTTTATAGAGCCTGATCGACGGAGGAAAACCAGGAGGACCGTTCGTATGAGACTCAATCGAGGCTGTTTCGGATAACAAGAAACCCACAGATGCAGGGCTTACAGGGACATAGAAAATTGCTTTGATGCCTAAACGGTGCGCCAAAAAGGGCACCCAACACATCATATCAAAGAAGGTGAAATGGGGTTTGATTTCTTGGAATAAAGATTCAACTGTGGGTTCTGTAAGATCCATAGCATTCCGAAGTAAATGCTGCGAGTGCATAGGAATTTCCGCGCTGGATTCAATGTGAGGCGGGAGGCCTTCAACATGGGGAAGGGGGAGGGGTATCAACTTGATGAGGTCCGGATGTAGATTGGATTTTTCCAAATTGGATATTGTTTTAGGAGGGACAACAAGGAAAACTCTATGGCCTCTGGCTGCAAGTTTGTTGGCTGTATGAAGATAAGGGATGAGATGACCCATGGCAAACCATGGATACATGAAAACGGTAAGATAATTATCAGCCATATTTGATAATTTGGTTTCTGCCAAGTTTTGATCCAAGTTTGATCACAATATAAGCACTTTTGGAACCAAAAGGAGGATGTAAAACACTCCGGTAAGATAAAGATCAATTTGAGAAAAATCTTCTGTTGTGGTTACTCATGTATGTAGAGCTTGTAAATGGCATTTGATGCACGAAGTCTGCAGGTAAATAGGCGAAAGAGAGAGATTAAAGCAACTGAGAGAAAGAACTTGTCTCTTTATAGCACCTTTTCAACTAGTGCAACAAAGGAGTTAGGCTTAGTAGGTAGGGAAATTTATCGTGGTTTGTTTCCTAAGGTAGCGTGAATTATTGTGGACCAAGCAGAAGGATAACAAAACTCAAAGAATAATTTTTTACACCTCTCTCACATGGAGGGAGGCCCACACATAATAAAATAATCGTGAACCCCCCTCCATACGAGAGAAGTGTAAAAGATTGTGTAAAAGTGTGTGTGTACATGTAGCATTACCCAAACTCAAAAAGGACAGGTCAGCAGCGGGGCGGGTTTGGGGCGGGAATTATTGTGGACCAAGCAGAAGGATATGACAAAACTCAAATAGAAGCAATATATGTATAGAAAAAAATATCAGAACTCATACAGAATACACTCATAGGGTGGACCCCATTTTTTAAACAATATTTAACTCACATGGGGCCCACCCATGTCAGTATCCATAGAATTTCTGGTAAAAAAATTTCTGTACATTCAGAAAATTTCAAGCTCAAAAAGGAACGGTCTTCCTTTTTGATGTGTTCAGAATCATTCCGTATGACTGATGAGACTTCTTTTCACACCTATTTTTCATCATCGATCAAACATACTTTTTACTTACACACATTTCGTGAGACATGTACTACTCACTTATTCACTACTAATATCTATATATCTATCTATTATTTAATATGGTTCTATTCCCAAACAAGAGCTTAGATTACACACTAAGGGTCCGTTTGATAGCCTAGAAAATGGGTGGAAAAAGAAAATATTTTCTAACTTTAGCCAATTAAGGGTGTTTGATAGCACAAATTTTCCTAACAAAATGTTTTCCACCTTTTTCTAGTACAATCATTTGATGTACAAAATCTTGATTTTGTTTTCCCACCTATTTGGTGGGAAAACATTTTCCACCTTTTTTTCTTTGCAATGGGAACAAATTCTAGANAATTTTTTTTGGGCAATGAAAACAAATTATATCCCTTTAATGGACAATTTCTATGAAAAACAAAGCCAAATGAATACCAAAAGATCCAAAATTTCAATATTTTTCAGGTGAAAAATTATACCAATCAAATAAAATTAATTACAATTCCCAATAAAACATTTTCTAGAAAAATCAATTCCCTATAAAACATTTTCTTTCCACTCATTTTCCACCCTTACAATCAAACGGACCCTAAGGGCCCGTTTAATTGTAAAAGTGGAATTTGGGTTGAAAAAAATGTTTTATTTGTAATTGAATTGCTTAGAATTTGTTTTATTGGAAATTGTAATTAGTTGTGCTTGTTTGGTATAATTTTTCACCTGAAAAATGTTGAAAGTTTGGTATCCGTTTGACTTTGTTTTTAATGAAAATTGTTCATTAAAATGATAATTTTTTTTAACATCATGTCTAGAATTTGTTCAAATTGCCCAAAAAAAAATTATAAAAATTATAAAAAAAATTATCATACCGAATAATATTCATTTGACTTTATTTTGTATGAAAATTGTTAATAAAAGTGATAATTTTATTTACCATTGTGTCTATAATTTGTTTCCATTGCCAAAAAAAAATAAAAAAAAAATCATGGAAAATCAAAACACACTAAAACAAATGGAAAGCAATTCCTCCACAACATGGAAAGGAGGCGCGTGAGGAGAGATGGAGGAAAACGTTTTCCGGGTAAAATTTTTGCTATCAAACAGTGCAAAAGGTGGAAAAATGGAAAAAAATTTCCAACTTCCAAGGAAAATCTTGGTTATCAAACATGGCCTAACTTTAAGGGGTATCCAAGTTAAATGAAAATAATTTCATTCTAAAATAAACCCATACTTTGTTTTTACTTTTCAATGTGGTGACTCGATTAAAATTCCTTTAGTTTTCCTAATAAAATTTCCAACTTGAATTGTCCTTAAACTGATATCTGTCGTGTCGGCAGATGATAGTAAGGCCTTGTCTGGTTTGGATTTTCCTTCTTCCACAATTGATTTTCCATCCGTTAACTTTTGAACGTTAGACACAACAGCTCAGCCGCAATTGTGGAAAAGTGACCGTTGCTGGCTCCAACGGTAGCATTTCTGCTGTTAATTGAAAATGAAGCTGCACCAGACAGCTTCTAAATCATAAATAGCATTAGTGGTAGAGCCGTCATTTAGAACCAATTTGTGAGCCTATAATTCTTTTGTTATTAATTGCGGTCTTTATTGGCAGCAACACTTCAACTAGGATAAATTCAGCCCAACAAATGAGCACTACCCTTAACTATGAGCGTGTTTTCTGAGCTTAAAAATAAGTAAAGTTGCTTTTAAGTAACTTTTCATTTCTAAACATGATTTGAAAAAGTAGCTTGTTTTTTTAATAAACTATTACTTTACTATCAAATAAGTAACTTAGTGATCAATTTTGAATAAAAAACTTATTTTTGTTAGAACCTATTTACTTTTAGATTAAGTTTTTCTAAGTTTAGTCAGACATGCTCTATCCTATGCCCTCGAGGAGGTTACCAGAGGAACGGTCCTTATTGAGTTCTTGAGTTAATGTGTTTAAGAATAAGGAAGTTATTGAGTCGATTTAATTTTCAAGAAGAAAAACATAAAGCTCCCACTCCATCAAGTTATTGTGTTTGTTATTTTTGTAAGAATGAAGATGGAACCTATCATTTTTTAGATTAATATTGTGTTTTTTAACATTAGAAATTTAATTATGGTACAAAATTGAACCAAATCGAACCATTCTATAATTAAATTTGGACCATAAGTTTCCATTTAAAAAATGCCCAATAATTTTTGGTTTGATTCAGTTCGATCCTCTTTGAAACGGATCAAACGTGCCCATACCTAGTTTTTGCCTCCAAATTTTCTGTTTATTTTAACTTCTAGAAAGAGAAGATCAGAATATGGGAAGAAAAAACTCTTTTTCCTCCTTTCTTGCCTTATTAGTATGAAATATTGCAAGAAATGAGGTTGAACATGGAAATAATCAGCTCCACTTTCAGTTTCATCTCTGTCATTGTTTTTCATTTTATTCTTTAATTTTTTATATGGTGAATGAGAGTGGCTTAGTGGGGGTTTTAATATTTTTTTTTGCAGGGTACTCAGGTAATGCAAGGAAAAAAAAAAAAGAACTTTAAAAACAATTAATAATTGAATCAATGACAAAACCAATCTCAAAAAATTTGCCCTCGTTTGAAACTCATTTTTCTCAAAATACACTTTTCTCCATCTTTTTTTTTTTCAATCACACATTCTTTAATAAATAATATAACACGCAAACTAAAAATTTTTCCTTATTTTTTAACTGAACTCTTCATTAATCTATTATTCCTTATAACACGCAAACTGGACTATTAAATACTACTTGAGATAGGGAAAACGATGGATTGACATGAAAATTTCTCTGAATTAATTTCACTCGGTTCTATTCGATAACGTAAATGCACCGCTTCAAATATCTGACTTTGCAATCTATGACTATATGACTTTGTCGATGTAAAAATTTTGTTATTTTCTGATTCATTGTCTATTTGAGAAAAGTCTATTGTTGAAAGTGACGTTAAATAAATTACTTTAGAACATATTTGATTAATTTTCTATAGTTACTTTATTGGCTAGAAAAGTTTTTAAAGAAAATTGGCCGAAGGTAATTTGGAAAGATTAAAAACTTTTCAAATCAACCAAATATTTTTTGAATATAAAAAATGCATATTATAATTTTATCATGGGTTTTGCTCCGGGTGTCACATTACGCGCTTGATCTAATTAACGGATCCCATTATGAAAAGTAGAAACTATGAACGTCGATTCATTCTTTAAAAAATCCAATATTCACGTGATATAAACTGTGTAAGTTTACTATGAAACTCTTCTTTTATGCCATAGTGATTTCCTTTTACGAGGGAGATGCATCGAAAAGTTTACTTATTTCATTTATTTGTATGCCCCTTAGTGCTTGTCGCTTTTATTAAAAAAATATCGAAATAATGAATTTAGCCCTTATTTAGTTGGGATTGAAATCAGTTTGTAAATAAAAATTGATAAAATGTGTGATTGAAAAGTTGTGGATTCTATAAAATATATAGTTAAAAATAATTATTAATTTTGATTTAAATTAAAATCAAATAAGGATTTCAATCAATTAGTTGGATTGGATGCAAGTTGACCAAGCTGTACGAATAAAACTCGTTCCAAACAAGAAGAAGAATTGATGTATGAGTTTATTTCATTAAACTCTTTCGAAAAAATAAATTTATTTTAATGAACAAGTGTAAAATCAATTTACTAAGAAGTGTAGAACATAATTTTTGAGGACTTAGTGTTGCTTTACCAATGCCACACGGGCCCTAGTAATGTCACCCGGCTCCTTGTGATAAGTGGGGGGAGATATTTATCTCCACCATAAAGCTGGTTGTACAGGGTTAGGCTCTCCACCTATAAGGGGCGCCGCTGATAGTATAGGGCTCATGTCGCCTTGTACAACTAGCAATGCCTAATCTCCGTGATCGGCTACTCATACATGGGCTTTAATTCTTGACTTAGCCTCAGTAGCAACTAGCATTATTCTCTTGACTTAGCCAAATGGTATGCTAAGTTCAAAAAAATTACTTAAAAATAAATAAGTGAATTTTAAAATAATTTTATGCTAATAGTATCATGTGCTTTAATCCATGCCTTTATATAAAAGAGGGAATGTTGGATTTACTGCTCCTTTTTTTTTTTTTCTGCCCTCCAATTCACATTGAAACCGATTCCTATACTGTTCGTTGTCCGGTTATTACAATGCAA